GTTCAAACCCCTTGAATCTCTTCCTCTTACAAATGTCTTTATATAGGCACACACTGAACCAAGAAAACTGAATTTGGAAGCAGAGGAAAAGAAGGATCTGATGATGCCTTCAACTTTCTACTAGAGATCATGATTGCACTAGGTTTTAAGTTTGTTTTCCGTAAAATGTGATGGTTTGATGCAGTTCGTGATTGGAATGTTGTACCCTGCATTTTTATGTTGCTAGATCATTAACATTTTGTAATTTTATAATTTTCTTTTGCTTGCTTATTATTGTTAGGTGGGGCTATGATAAATTCCCTAAAGAGAAGCCTCTCGTTTTCTTTGAGGGTGGAAAACCCATACATCATCTAGAAATGTTGGATGGGTTTAAAGTTGTTATTGAGAATATGGTAGCTCACATTGAGAAAGTATTCCCCAAAAGGACACTCAAGTTCTGGCGGCTGCAATCACCGAGACACTTTCACGGTGGTGACTGGAATCAGAATGGCAGTTGCTTGTTTGACGATCCCCTTGAGGAACTCCAGGTATGCAATACAGAAAGTCTCCATTCGTTCTTTGCTTTACATGTGGAACTTCTGGAAATGCTCCCTTTTTATTCTTCCCATTGAGGCATGCATAGCAAAGATTGATGCCTGATTTGTAATATTAAAGTACTCTAATAAAGGAATTATATTCACAATTGGTCAAAAGAAATGTATCATATCACATAACAAACAATTTCATTGTTGTTATTATTATATTAGCAATAGAATTAACAACTGACGCCTGTGCAGCTTGACATGTGGTTTGATCCCAGTAATAATGGAGTGAACAAGGAAGCAAGACAATTGAATCGCCTCATTGAGTCGGCACTAAAAGGGACAAGTATCAGAACACTCGATCTGACTCATCTGAGTGAGTTCAGAGCAGATGCGCATCCAGCGATTTGGTTAGGAAAAAAGGATGCAGTTGCTGTCTGGGGTCAGGATTGCATGCACTGGTGCCTACCAGGTGTTCCCGATACATGGGTCGATATCTTGGCACAACTGATTGGATATAGCTTGGAGACGGGGTGAAGGAGCAAAGGGATTCTATAAAACTGGATTTAGAATTACCTTTGCTCCCAATGACTCTAGTAAGAGAATGACGTCATCCTACAAGTGGGACAATCGAGTTGCAGGTAGTTTCTTAGGAGACCTAAATCGAATTGCCGCGTTTTTCTGTATGGAGTTGGTTTAGTACATAACAAAGATAACTGGAAATTTTTTATCTTATATTTATTTAGTTTATGATGTTTCAAGAAAAGAGGTCCCTAAAGCAGCAAATCTAGAAGACTAAAAAATTCCGATAGGAATTTTTAGCTGTCAAAGCTTCCAAGATTTTATTCTTTTCCCATGTTTTAGTTTGAGTTGTCCAAATTCCATGCTCTTCTTGTAATTTCTTATACGTTGTAATTTTTTGATTTGTTGAAAGTAAAATATTTCGGTGCAAAACTCTGATCCTCCTCAAGAAAGTTAGTTCTTGGAGCATGTTTTGTCTCTCGTCCTGTCTGATTTTTTATTGGTAATGAGGTTTTTGTGTGCATGAATATATCATGGTTCTGTGTCTGTGTTGGTGATTCCGCGTATGGAGGATCTATTTTGCATATGTACAGATTGAAGCAAGATGGATAAAGAACAAGGTGGCAACGAGTCAAAACCTCTGTAGTACAAGGTAATTACACATACATAATCCTATGTACTGATGCATCACTTTCTGGACCTTTGTTAATTAACTCTTGCTTACTTTGTGCATGTATCTATTTTTCGTTGTTAAACATTTACACAGACATGGATGTTGAAAGTCTCTATCCACTGTGAAGGTTGCAAGAAGAAAGTCCTTCAAAGTATTGAAGGTAATTTCATATCTAAAATATATAGAAGTGTATAGCATTTATGGCATCGCGTATGAGGTGATGCATTTCTTTTTCTTTTTTTTTGATCAGGTGTATATGAGATAGAGATTGACTCTAAACAGCATAAAGTTACAGTGATAGGGAATGTGGATGGGGAAAAACTGGTCAAGAAGCTGGTCAAGACGGGGAAAACTACCGAACTTTGGCCGGAAAATTCTGAGATAAACTCCTTGAAGTCGAAGAATAAGAAAAACAAGAAGGACCCAAAAGATGAAGAAAATCCTACAGATGATAAAACAATAGCCGAGGAAAATGGAAACCCAAAGAAAGGTGACAATGCCACAACGGCCGGGGTGGTGGTGGAAGATGACGGTGGAGAGGAAGAGCTAGCTCAGCCGAATGGTGGCGGCGGCGGAGGAAAAAAGAAGAAGAAAAAGAAGAGTAAAACCAGTAGCACAGTTCAAGCTAATGGTGACGGTGCTAATGTTGCACCTGTACCAGCAAGCAGTGAATCTTTTCCACCCGCAAAAATCATGAGCCCACCTGTTTATAAAGCGAATAATAGTCCTCCACGTAAGGGTATTCTTCCATATCCACAGGCTTACTATGCTATTCCAGAATATGGGCTGAGTTACAGTACAGCGCCTCCACCTAGTACTGGTAGTGCTTCAGGTTATCCTTATGCTCTCCCCATGTATTCTTATATGTACTCACGACTGTATGATAATTATCCGCCTCCTCCACCGTCTGATCCCATTGATGATCATTATGATGATGATGTAAGTGGGTGCTTAATCATGTAACACAATCTTTTTGAATTTTGCCATTACTGTTTACGTTTTAGCAGTGTTATATAAGATTGAATAATAATAATAATATGAACAAGATGATATAGTGTAATTTAGTGGAATTTTTTTTATTGATCATTAGCATGCCAAGAAGTTAGGTGACAAGGTAAGGTGATATTATATATTTTTGGTGTAATTAAGGGGATTAAAAAAAGTCTCTATTCAAAGTTTTTCGAAGTAGTTGTATGTTATAATTTTGTGGGATTTTGTTCAATTTTATTCCAAAAAAAAAAAGGGAGGAAATTTCTCGTTTATATGAAGATTTGAGAAAATGTGCAAATGGATATAAAGAATCAGCCAAATAAAAGATTTTATGTTCCAAAATGAATATTCCTAAGCGATTGGACAATAAACGCCAGCAAAAGTCACAAGTGAACGTCCAAAAGTAAAAATAATTTGGAATAATTTACTTTGGTTCTTTTGCTTGCAGGAAAAGGCGTAATTTCAATCGCTTTTTCAATTCGCAAATCTATTTAGCTTCTTTAAAAGTAGTTTAACTCATGATCTAATTTCTGATTGCTTTTACCAATTTGGAACAAGAGTTATTGAGTAGAAATTTGATATCAAATTGTCTTCTTGATTAGTTCAAGTCCTTTTTCATGTTGATTATTTCCTTAGATTCAAACAATATGGTATTTTACTCCACATATTTCAATAAGATAGTAGCTTATTTGATAATGCCAATCTTAGATGACGACTACTTATTTAAGCTCTGATAATATGTTGAGTCTTAAGGTTTCATCTTATAATTAGATCAATCTTATTAAAAGTAAAGTAATCATATAAATTATTATTTTTATTTAAACAACATGAGAACATTAAGTTATTGATAGCTTATTTTCATTCTTTTTTCTTTATTTATGTGCTTATTGTAGAGTACATTTGTATTATTTATTTGTTGTTTAAATACACTATTTTTAACATAAGTCATGTTCTCCGGAAGAGAGGTCGAATCTTTACTTGTTGCAGTATCAGGTCTTCAGGGGCCTTGGAGAAGACAAATTGATGCGAAGGAGCCTTCGTGCAGCTTGGCTGAAAGCAACCAATGCTTATGAGAAACTTATCTTTAGGGCATGGTTGAAATATGAGAGGCAAGGTGCGGAAAGAATCTCTGAATTGTTGTCTTCTTGCGGTAGATATGCAACGGAGTTTGGGATTATAGATGTTACCTCTGAATTGCATGCCAATGAAAGTCCAGGCTTTTGTGGAAATGATGATGTAGCGACCGAGAACTTTTGAATAATATAAAATTAATTTTCTCGAAAAATATGTCGCTAAAACGTAACCCAAATTTTCTAGAGAAACGCGTTCGTCTAGAAAGTCCAGGCTTTTGTGGAATTGATATGTTGAGACAGTTGAGTGACAATCATATTTCAAGGATTGTTTCTTTCCAAATTGGACTTGAAAAAATAATATGTGACAGGCAGAAATTTGCTGGCCTTTCAATTCCATTTCATTCAATGCTTTATGGTGTTTTGTGGAATCGTCTTTTGAAGACATCGATCTGTCTGAAAATAATCTCTCTCCTTTAGGAATGAGGTTGATCAGTGATTTCAGCATAACGGGAAGTTTAAATGAAGCGCCCTCCTCCCTTTTGTTAAAAATATTGGTGTTTGCCAACAAATTTTGCTGTGAAAGCCTTAAGGATGCTCGTGATAGGAAACTTGCATCTTTGGTTTCCTCCAGACAAGATGCAGTGGAGCTTATGGAATGCGCTATTGAGGAGAATTCCCCTGTTCTCGCTGCATCATGTTTGCAAGTTTTTCTACATGAACTGCCCGACTCTCTGAATAACAGTCAGGTATTTGAACTGTTGAGCAATGCCAGTAGGCAACGTAGGTCTATAATGATCGGTCCAGCCTTATTTTCCTTCTACTCTTTACTAAGTGAAGTTGCAATAAATACTGATCCGCGTTCAGACAAAGCCGTCCCTCTCTCAAAGCAGTTATTGGATTTTGCTGAAACCAGTCGCCAAAAAGTGATGCATATCATCAGTTGGCTTGTGTTAGATTCCTCAGAAGAGAATATAATGAAGCAGAAAATCTGTTTGACGCCGCTTTCAATGAGGGCCATGTTTATTCTCTTGTTGGCTTGGCAAGATTAAGTAACATCAAGGGTCATAGAAAATGGTCTTATGAAAGACTGAGCTCTATCATTTCCTCTTATTCGCCAATTGGATGGATGTATCAAGAGAGGTCATTATACTTCGAGGGTGACATGAAGTGCGCGACCTTGAGAAAGCAACTCAGCAGGATCCAACTTTGATATATCCCTACATGTTCCGAGCTGCGACCTTCATGAGGAAAAATGATTTTCAAGGAGCCCTTGCAGAAATTAACCGCGTTCTTAGATTTAAACTAGCACTGGAGTGTTTGGAACTACGTTTTTGTTTCTATCTCGCACTTGAACGCTATCAATCAGCGACATGTGATGTTCAGGCAATTCTTACACTTTATCCAGATTACCGGATGTTTGATGGACGGGTTGCAGCATCTAAACTTCATACTCTTGTGCACGAGCATGCTGAGAATCGGACGACAGCCGATTGTTGGCTGCAGCTATATGAAAGATGGTCTTCAGTTGATGATATTGGGTCGTTGTCTGTAATATATCAGATGCTCGAGTCTGATGCAACCAAGGGGGTGCTATACTTCAGACAGTCTTTACTACTGCTCAGGTAATAATTTGTTATATTCTTCTTTGACTCTAACACGCTATACATCTCCTTTGGAAATTTGTATCACGTGTTCTTTTGTTGTACTAATTGCATTTTCCCTGTTCACCATCAGTTTCTAAAATCTGCTAATCACCTTATGTGGTTATAAAATTTTCAGCAAAATATACATGAAGGCGAAGTAGAACAATAAAGCGAGAATTTGAGAGGAATTTCACAAAAATCAACTCTAAATTTTTTCAACAAGACTAATCCTATAAATACATAAAATTAATGGAAGTTACCAATATACCTCATTGGAAAATTTCCTAAGAAATAATAATAATCACTGGAAAATAAATCATAATGTACTTTTTTTTTTGTGCCTACCATAAGTGGATATATTTGACATGTGATCTTCCATGTTAAGAAGGTAAATTGCCTTCACCAGGAATGTAATCTCCATAGGGAGGGCAACGGCGCAGGTCAGGGCCGGGGTAGCCGTCCCATCCCCACGCTAAACAGGGATTTTCGAGAGGCGGCGATTAATATCCCCATTCACGTCCCGTTCAATTATTATCTTTTTTTATAATTATTTTTATTTTTTTAAATATGATTTAAATTGAAAATCATAAAATAAAAATAAAATAAAAAAGATTCGGGGCGGGGAATTTCGCCATCTCTAAATCTCCATCAAAAGGGTTTTGAAAGCTCACTACTATGTTCATATACATATACAAGTGACTAGATTGTAATATTATTTATTTTAAACAAATTAAATTGTTCTGAAGCTGCTATGCGAAGTTTGCAGTTGGCTTGCCGTCATGCATCAGGTGAACGTGAACAGTTAGTTTACTAGGGATGGATATTATATGATATTAGTCACTGTGAAGAAGGGTTGCAGAAGGCCAAAGAGTCTATTAGTCTCCAAAAATCCTTTTGAGGCTTTTTTTCTAAAAGCCTACGCATTAGCCGACTCTGCTCATGATCCTCGTTCTTCCACTATCATGTCACTTCTTGAAGAAGCCTTGAAGTGCCCATCAGATAGGGCTTTGTAAAGGTCAGGTATGATTTTCTTGTGCTTTATAATCTATGAAGCATAGACACACAGACACACGTCCGATACGCAGACACACGGTTTTTCAAAAAATTACTTACACGACACATTGATTAAATTTTTTATTTATATAGTATAAATTTAATTTTATATTTATTATTAGTTTTTCTTGTCGAACATTTTTAAATATGAGTGTATATTTGTTATTTAATCATAATTTTGAGTTAAAAATATATAATATTTCTGATAAACAAAAAATGACAATGACAAAGTGTTCGACTTGTGTCGGACACGGACACCCTATCCTAGTTGAAGTGTTTAGACTACAGAGTTTATAATTATAAGGTGAGATAAAGAACTTTAGGATGTTATGCAGGATATTAAATACAAGATGCTATTCGTGTATTCTGTGCTGAATTGCTCTTCATTCACCACAGTGTAGTGATATACTATTCTTCATATTTATAACGCTGCCCAAATGGTATCTGTTGTAGAGACTCATGCCTAGGATAAGCATATAGGAACTTCTACCATACATTTGAGAGATTTTCAGACAATGGTTATAATGGTGGCTGAATATAGGAACTCCATTAACCTGCTCTGAATTAAAGTTCAACTCAGTGTCTTGATTTAGTTAGCCTTACAATAGTGATTAACGTGATAAAGAATTCATACAGGATTAAAAGACACAATTATCATAAGTTGTTTATGTACCATAGCTATATGAATTTTAGTCTATTTGGATATGCTGCCAAGAGTTGCTTTTTTGTATTGCGCTGAACTTTAATTATGCTTGTAGCTGGCAGAAGATGATATTGGTCGCTTTTTGCACGAGAAACAAATTATTTAATTGTCAAACTAGGTCTTAGATATCGTCCAAGCATTGTGAGTTCAGTTTTACCTGACTGAGTGGGATTGGCATCCTTAATGATTGATGTTGTGTTCAATCTACATTCACTTCAATATTTTTTGCACTCAATGTCTTCTCTACCTACATTTTTGTCTACCGATGTAATATTAATGCAGAAAGCAGCGTTTGGATCTTTTGTAATAGTGTTGCTATATATGGGTAGGCCCTAAATAATCTTGGAAGTGTCTATGTTGCTTGTGGTAAGCTAGATGCTGCAGCTGATTGCTACATCAATGCCTTAAAATTCGTCATACTCAGGCCCATCAAGGCCTTGCTCGTGTTCATTTCCTGAGAAATGATAAAAATGCTGCATATGCCTAGATGACAAAACTTATTGAGAAAGCACCATATTGTGCATTTGCTTATGAGAAGAGGTTTGAGTACTCTGAACCAAGGTTTAAAAAGGCGAAATTAAGTATTGTGGCGGTTTTTCTTTATGAGGCGCCTCGAGGCGGATTGAGGCGTAAGCCTCACAAAAAACATAAAATCTAAGTAAAAGAATTATAAAATAATACAAGAATACAAAAGAACCAAAGTTGGAGCATATAGTAAATAGAATATATAGCCATTAACATATTGAGATATAGTCCACCTAAAAAAAGAAGATGTTTAGCAAAAAAAAAGCATTACAGAAGTTAGAAATCACTCCATTTGCAATGGAAAAAAAGAAGCAGCTTAAACTAAAAAAAAACTTAAGATGTGAAACAACATAAATCTGGGTATAGTGTACTATTGCATGAAGATTTAACAATGATGTAGGGATATTGAAGAGATACAGATTAAAAAGTATGGATACATGAGTTTTAGAGTTTATACAAGTAATTGGATGAAATCGTGTGTGTTAATTATATAAATCAAAATATTTATAAAATTTATAATTTCCAGATGTGTATATGAAGCAATTAATTGCTTGCAAGATTTACTGAGCCCTAAAAAGAAGAAGAAGAAAAAAAAGAAGAAAAAAGGAAAAACATACCTGATGAACTGATGAAGAAGGCGACACTCTTCTTGAATTCTAACTTTTGAATTTCTGTTGAATTTGTTTCCTTTTTGGTCCTCTAATTTATGGCTGCCATTTAGTTTTCTAGGTATTTTATTGTTTTGCTTGGGGTTCAAAATGCCTTTTTAAATGGGTCATTTTCTTTTTGAATTATGCTTGGTGTACATAAAAAAGTGTACATAAGGGTGTCATTTCCCTCACATGTGAGAGAATGGACACTCTTTTGTGGGTCCCACCCCATGTGAGGGAATTGACACTCTTATGTACAAAAATTATGTACACCAAGTAAGGTCCTTTCTTTTTTAAGAAGGGCCCTTTATAATTTCTTTTCATACAATTGAAAAATTAAATTTTAAATGAGGCGCACGCCTCATATTTAGAGGCGTAAGCCTCATATTTTTAGCCTAAAAAATATCGCCTCGAGGCATACTACATGCGCCTCACAGTGAGGCGGGCCTCAAGGCGCTCCTCACTACCACCTTTTTAAACCGTGCTCTGAACGCGAACTCATGAAGGCAGATCTAGAGATGGTCACTAGCCTAGATCCTCTACGGGTTTACCCTTACAGATATCGAGTAGCAGGTCAGATTTCTTCTTAGTTCCCTTTGCTACCATGTTCAAACTTCTTAATAATGACCGCAAACATAAATTTTGGTGTAGATAAGCATATTATCAATTTAATTGCACATTGTCTTCTGAGAGTACCGTGATAATGTGTGGGCTGTAGCCAGACCACTGTATATGGTTCCTCTCATACTACCATGGAATTAAATGCTTACAACACCACAAGGGATTATGGGGGGGTTCCCTTGGTATGTCACCATCGATGGCCTCTTAGGCGCTCCTGACTGCCACCAGTGTTCCTAGGCACATCACATCCACTTTTGGGTTTCAGGGGCAATGCTATGGATTAAACCCTAATCCCGACTTTCAGGAGCAAGAGAATGAACAATGAACTTGTAGATTTTTAGTTGTTTGAGTTCCATTTTTGGGGAAAAATGTGTTAATTCACAAGAAGGTGAAGTGCTTGTTTTTTTATCATTTGCATTGACTTATTGTAAAAATCTTTGAAGCTCTTGAAATATGATTTAGTAATTTTCAGGTATGGGTTCCTACTTCCTGAGAATAAAGCATGTCAAGATCCTTTAAGTGCATCAGGTGCCATTCTACAGCAGTTTGATATCCTTCCTGAAATGTACCAAGTTGGTTATACAAAATTATACTCCCGAGCAGGACAGGTGAGTTTATATTCTCATTTGAAGGCCTTTCATATTTTCAGACTTCTTCTTCTTCTTCTTCTTCTTCTTCTCCTCTTCATCCTCCTTCTTCTCCTGCTGCTCCTCCTCCTCCTCCCCTCCTCCCCTGCTCCTGCTGCTTGTGCTTCTCCTCCTGCTCCTGCTCCTTCTCCTCCTTCTGCTACTCCTGCTCCTGCTCCTGCTCCTATTCTTCTTCTCTCTTTTCCCTTCTCCCTTCTCCTTCTCCTTTTCCTTTTCCTACTCCTGCTCCTGCTTCTCCTCCTGCTCCTGCTCCTGCGCCTCCTCCTCCTCCTTTTGCTTCTTCTGCTTCTGCTTCTCCCTCTCCTTCTGTTGCTACTGCTCTTCCTGCTACTGCTCCTCCTCTGCCTCTGCTCCTCCTCCTCCTCCTATGTGTTCTGAAAACTAAAATCATCTAATGTGTGTAACTTCCCATTCAATTTAGCAATTGCTAGTATCCTGTCATCCTTCAGGTCCTGTAGTGAGCAATGAGTCGGGTAAAAAATGAATTTAACATTTGTAGTTTGTGTCAATTTTGGGACAGATAAAATGTTGAATTTGAATTTTGGAATATGTAATACATTGGTTAAAAGTAGTTTTTAAGTTATGGTGATGGATCCAATGTATTTAACATGTTTAACAGATCCATCAGGTAAGCAAACTGCAGTGGATTGTGCAACAGGTCTCACATTAGTCATTTGATTAATGTCTGTGCATATATGATTGCTGGCACCAGTATCAATTATCCAAGTATTACATCCTAAATTATTAAGTGAAGTAAAAGCCAAATGTTGGGTACACATACCACAATAATCGTTGAGATGTGCAAAGCTGACTTGATTTCCATTGTCTATCAGCAATTAATCTTTGAGCATTTTCATCGATTCCTGTTGCACTATGTTCATGATATTTTCAGATGATGTTTCACCCTTTTGATTCACTGCAGATACTCTTTCTTCAAAATCAAGTGGTGAATCACTCATATTCATCACATTGTTCACCACAGTCCTTCTTCCAAACTCCTTAGCTCTTTGTTCCTTTAACCCTCTGTACCAATCCGGATAACCAATCAACTTGAATCAGCCTTCCTTTGAGTGTCCATTTGCATTGCAATGATCACAGAATAATGTCTCATTATCAAAGTTATTGAACCTTTTATAATTTCCTCTTCCAAATGTATTGTTACCTCGTCCTGAATTAAATCTTCCAGTCCAGTTTTCTCTTCCTCTCATAGATCCATTACCTCTGTAACTATTTCCTGTTGCCATCATAGCCAGATTATCATTAACCTCTGGAAGCATTACATGTACCTCCCTTTGTTTTTCAACCCTCAAAACCATGTAGTATGCTCTATTAACTGACGGTAACAGATGCATTACCAATAATTGGTTTATGATATTGTCATAGGTGTCATTCAATCCCATCAAAAATTGCATAAGTTTGTTGAATGCGGCTAAATCAGATACTTCCTTCGCAGCTCCACAAGTACACACTGGAAAGGGCATCAAACATGCGATTTCATTCCACAGTTTTTTGAGTTTAGTGAAATACCTTTCAATTGATAATGAACCTTGAGTTAGGCTACTAATCTCTCTCTGTAATTGATAGAGTAAGGGACCGTTATATTGCCCATATCTCTCCTCCAATTCAACCCATAAGTCTCTGGTTGAAGTTGTGTAGATAAATGCATCCACAATTTCCTTCGAGATTGAATTCAATATCCAAGATCTAACCATACAGTCCACTCTAACCCATTGATCGAACTTCGAAGATTCTTCAGCTGGTTTTTCACATTTCCCATCTATAAATCCCAATTTCAATTTTGCACCTAATGCGATTTTAATTGACCTGCTCCAGCTCAAATAATTCTTTCCTGTTAGAGGTGAAGTCAACAATATCATTCCTGGGTGATCTGATCCTTGAAGATCTAACGGATCTCCATTGCTGTAATCTTTCTCAGATGATCCTTGTTATGTGGGTAAAAGATCAATACGCTCACGTGGGATTTTTGTAGCCATGATTTAATTTCGAACTAATTGGATAGCAGCTTAGATGATTAAGCTCAGGATCTGGATATTATGCTCTGATACCATGTTTAATTTGTGGATGAAGATTTTTGCAGCCAAAAGATGCTGCGTTTTCTGTTACTTTATTTCATCCAAAATCAATCCCGAACGTAGAGGTACATAGCATATATATACGAAGTAGAAACCAATGATAGTTGGACACGTCCAAACAAAACTAACAGAAAATTAAAACAAAACAACAGTCCACGTGAATGGAAATAATTCTCTTCACATATTTCAATAGAACTAAATAAATGGTTAAACCAAAGTTAATATAGATTATTATTTTGAGTACTAAGAATAATTGTAATTTCTGATAGATACAAATAATGAATTAATACATATATAATCAATTTTCTTTATAACAATAAAATTGATTGGTCATTTTAAATAATTTTACATTCATCCGATCTTATTTATATAGGAATGGACAACCAAAAGAGTTGACCATCACAGTACAGTACAAACTCTTTCCACTTCTTATCACACACACAGACAGACAAACACTCGAAGCCATAAACCAAAGCGCACAACATTAAAGAGAAACATGCTAATTTCACGAAAATAATCATGGCTTGCAATTCAAATTCCATCAATACTTCGTCGCTGCAACAATCTTTTTCCAAGCTGGCCTGGCCAGAATATCGGCACACCATGCACTAACATGCGGACGCGCATCGAAAAGGGCTTTAAGTTTTGTGCCCATCAGGAAGTTGATAACTGCCGAGTGATGCAAATCAGCCAATGTGAAGGAATCCCCGCCCAAATACTTGGATTGTGCGAGGTGCAATTCGTAAATGTCGAGAACTTCGGCCAATCTGGCTTCGAGCTGAGAGACAACGGATTCTTCCTCCTTAGTCTCGCCATTTATCGGCTTGATCACGAGCTCATAGGCTAGTTTGGAGGCTGGAGGATAGAAACAATGGGCTTCAATTTCTGTCCACTGTGAAATGATTGCCATTTTCTTCGGATCATGGGCTGTCAGTGGGGTTCCCTTGTCTGCAAATGTATGTGCAAGGTATTGGGTGATTGCCCTTGATTCTGCAATTTAAGCTTTCATCTGTTAAAGGAAAACTTCTGAACAAAAGCACGTCTAAAGATCACGCCCTGATTATAAACGGGGTCAAAAACCCTTTTAAACTTTAAGAATTCTCATCATAACAAATCAAACTATCGTGTGAAAATTGAAAATTGATGTACCAAAGAGCTTTAGATCTCCATCTTCAAAGAATGGCACTTGACCAAAGGGCTACAAAAATTAGAAAAGAGCAATTCAGTAAATAGAAAATCCAAGAAAAGTGAAAGAAAAATGTTTGAGAGTTATGACACAATATGCTTACATTGAGTGAAAGAAAAGCCTGTGACTTATGCTGATCAGTTGCTAAATCAACAAGAATAAACTCATAATCCAGTTCTTTCTCTGCTAGGGTTGCAAGAACTCTGTGTGTTGATGCAGACAAAGGGTGTCCATGGACCTTGATTGCCATCACTGCAGAAGCTCAACAGAACAAGAAGAATAAGGTACTGCTATGACAATGATTTAATGAATATGAATGATGATATATGGGAGTATTTATAGTAATACAGTACTGAACACCCCCACCCCCAAACCCCCGGCCGCGAAAGATCTACTAATTCAACAGGTTTTGTTGGCATCTTGATTAGTATTGAATAAAGAATAAGAAGTTTAAATCTTGTTTATTATATTTTTCAAAATCTGATATAGCACTTTGTACTTAAGATGTCTCAAAATTTATAATGTGAAGGTGCCTAGTTTGGTTATCTTTATATTTAGAGTACTTAGTTTTTTTCCCTTTTTCTGGGAGTCGACAAATTTAACATGGTTTTTTCATCTCAAAAGGGCGTGTTTTATGCATTATATTGGACAATATTGAACAATATTAATGGAGGATAAGAAGTTTTAACTTTGTTTATTTGTATTATCCAATCGGATTTAAAATGATAAAAAAATGTGCCTACTCAAGGATTCCGAGCCTTTCAAGAATTGTATTTAAAGAAGCATGCTCCGACCGTGGACCGTTGTAGGAGCAAATTCCTCGAAATATTTTGGAATATCACACATGCGTAGATTAATGGATTTTCTAGATGGGGTTTTAGTTAACTTTATTATATTATTTAGACTAAGTCAATTTTTGGTAAAGATTTTAAGGAAAACACTGCACATCTATATTAATGATTAGGCATAATTTATTTGTTAAAATTATAGTTTTTTGTCTCAATTATTTTCGCATTTTTTGAGCATTCAAGTGCTTGTAATCTTTCGATAGAAGAGTACTATTTTTTATTTTTTGGGGGATTGCTCAATTAGTTATGCCTTGAGTTTGCTCCCCAATAGTCACCGGTTCGAGTCTCCTCACGGCTATTGAAATGAGTACCCGACCTAAACTTCAGGGTCCCGTGGAATTAGTCGAGATGCGCGTAAATTGGCCTGGACATCTAGGTTATTAAAAAAAATGAAAAAAACTATTATGATGTAAATAGTTGAATAAAATGTTGTATATAGGGAAAATGGAACATTACTTTCACTTGAAGGGTTTGTTTGGCACATCTTTTATGAGAATTATTTTTCACACTCATTCTCAACCACATATTCTTTTAACAAACTAAATTCATACATGCCATAATTTGTTTCTTGCTTTTTGACATTCTCCCCCCAAAAATAAAAAATAAAAAAAAATATTTTTTCACTTCGAATAATCTCTTCCAAACATACGCTAAATCCCTCCATTGTGTAAATTCAACTTTGGAAGTCGAATTGCTCGTCTCTCTGGAAGTTCCATCACTACATTGGTAAAATAAGCAAAGATGTAATGAGAGAAGGACAAAGGAGAGGAAGAGGATAAGGTTTGAGGAATTAATATTTACTAATTGCAGCTCAAACAACATTAGTTGACATTTTAACCTTTCCATTCAGATTAGGTACTGGATGACTCAGTACTTGTAATTGACTTTGGAAAAATACAACCAAGTCGTCGAGCCTACGTCGTATTTGTGATGGTGGAACCTTCCTTAGCGAGGCACTGACATAATAAACATATATATACTCGTACATATATCAATAACATTTTCAAGAAAATGATGGCTTGAGTCATTCGGTTGTATTTTGCATAAACGTAGAGATCAGATTCGTACGTGGACTAAAATTAATGTAGTTTGTTGTGATTTCTTGTCAATTTAACAATTAATGAATAGAATATTACGGTGAAAAGGGATTCATGTAGCGAACTCCTTGCTCGAGTTAGTGAATAAAAATTAGTTTGTGATTGCAGTAAACTTTTGGAAATCTTAAAATCATTCGGACCCAGGATTGGTGCTTCTTCACTTTCACTTTGCGCCCTATACCTCTCGGATCGAGGAAGTTCCAGGCAAGTCACCGGACGAAGTTGTCTCAAATGTTTCAACTGCTTAAGCAAGTACCCCTTCTCGAACTGCAAATTAATTTGCTAGGCACCTACAACTACGTCGATGCTCAAGTCCTATGATAATTTACGCACTATCAAAGCTTTCTTCTATCGAAATTAATACCATTATATAGAATTTCTCTCACCAAAACCGTCCAAATATTGTAGAAAAAATAATATCATAAACTTTACTACATCTACGAATTTCTACTCTTTGCACAACCCACAATTTCTTAGAAAAGGCCCTTAAATCACATGCACAAAAGAGAGACTACGTTATTCTCTAATCAACAGAAACATAAACATGACCTATTTTGCTCCAAGGAATCCGTAATTTTGAATCTGTTCAATTTTTGTCATCAATATAATAATGACACATACATTGAGATCTTTTGCACCAATTTTATCTCACTTAATCTCCTTCCAAATTTGCAATTCGAAGCTTGTTTATTTTTGGCACTTTCGAGGCAAAATCACAGCAGGATTTGAAATTCAGGGGTACCAAGAGAGCAAGTACAACCACTAGTTTGAAAGCTCGAATAGTTTGAAAACTTTAATAATGACGTTGCCTTTTTCTTTCATGTTGTTTTTATTAATATCGTCTTAACCACTAGACAAAACCTTGATTAATATATAATTTTGAAAAAGAAAAAAGAATAGAAAATGATATACCATTGGTGGATAGACTATCAAAGATTTTCTCTATAAAAATCATTATAATCATATGGAATTTCTCTCATCGAAATCCGTCCAAATACCCTAAAAAAACAAATATTTTAAATCATATCCCCCAAAAAAAGGCCTTTATGCTCATGAAATATATGCACTTTTTTGTTTCCCACTCACTCTTTTTAGTGGTTTACGAAAGGTGCGAAGAGCACCGAATATAATGAGTGCATTAAGATATAGAAATAATTGAACTATTTTTTTTTTATTATTATTTTTAATAAAAATAACATATATAACTTCCTTTAGAGTCCCTATAAATGCCTTTCATTTTCCTTACCAATATACCAAAAAAGCTCAAGTAATCAATTTTCTTTCTTTTGCTAATAATGACATTAATATCCACATTTCAAACTTTTCACTTTTTGATAAGTTACTAGTTACTACTTTAGTGTAAATGTATCAAAATGTGTGTGACAAGCAGTGCTCAATACGACATAAAAAGGCGCTGCCTAGACCATGCCCCCAGGGCACATCTCCAAGTGATAAAAGGGGAAGGTGGAAAAATTTCAGTTTTACTTGAAGCTGCCGCGTCAAGGGTTCGAATCCTGAAATATAGATTTGACCATTGGGTAAGTGCAAGTGTATAAACAGCCTTCTACCCTATATCCTTGGAGGCATAACCTGCGATTTACCTCCTTCACCAAGACCCAGGGCAGAGCAGGTGGGGGCCGCTAAGGATGCGATTCATCCTTTAATTGGTTGTTTTCTTAAAAGGATCTAATAAAAATTAAAAGTGTCAAAAATTTGAAAAACACTAGAATTTGTAAAGAAGGCCAAAGCATGGGATGCGTCGGGCCTAGACCAACCCACCTCATTAGCCAAGCTAATTAGCCGTCCAGACTTTTCAAGACAATAAACATGAATCATGTTCCATGTACATTTTATTTGACATTCAATGAGATAACAACAATCATGACTTTTAATTTTAAAGACACTCCATCAACTCACTGGTCAGATTTCATATATTAACAAGGAATGTACATCTAACATTATTCAATAACCATTTGAGCTTACACTCATTTTTAGATCTCTAACGAAATACAAAATGATAAATCTCTAAAATAATTTCACCTATATGAATGTGGAAATTCCCATTCAATCTTTATTCATAAGAATGGACAAGAAAAAAGAGTTGGCCATCACAGTACACAAAGTGTTCTCTTTTCTTCTCATCAAACATTCAAGTATCCAAAAACCAAAAGACACGACATAATTAAAGAAACACAAGCAAATTTCAACAGCATCATCAATGGCTAGCAATCCGAATCCCTCAATGCTTCATCAATGCAGCAACCTTCTGCCAAGCAGGCCTGGTCAGAATATCAGCACACCAAGCACTAACATGAGGGCGTGCATCGAAAAGTGCTTTAATTTTAGAGCTCATCAGGTAGTTAATAACTGGCAAGTGATGCAAATCAGCCAAGGTGAATGAATCTCCTCCCAAATACTTGGATTGCGTGAGGCGCGCTTCGTAGACGTCGAGAACTTCGGCGAGTTTGCCTTCGTGCTGTGTGACAATGGCTTCGTCGGTTGTACGGCCGAGTATGGGCTTTATTACGAGCTCGTAGGCAAGTTTGTAGGCTTGAGGATCAAATCTCTGACTTTCAACCTCTGTCCATACTGAAAGGATAGCCATTTTCTTTGGATCGGGGGCTATCAGTGGGGTTCCCTTATCAGCATATCTGTGAGCAATGTATTGACTTATTGCCCTTGATTCTGCATTGTAATGTTTCATTTGTTAACAGTAAACTTTTGAACATAAACATGTCTATAGATCAGGTTCTCGGGATCTGGTTAAATCAAGTCAAATCAAATCAAATCGTTAAACTCAGAGAGACAGAGAGATGTTTTATTTAACCCCCGTTTTGTATGAATTAAAATTTAGATTTTAATCTAAATCAACAATTAATTTTAAGTCTTAACTACATATTTATATGACCCACAACTTTTTTACTGTACATTTTATTAACTTTTATCAAAATTTATTAAGTCCCCGTTTGGTAGGATTTAAAATAAGATTTTTAGTAAATTTTGTTCATCAAATGTATAGTTGAAAAGTTGTAGGCCATGAAATGATTTAAATTAATTGTTGACTTTATCCTGAATTCTTACCTAACACGGGCTGCTTTTAATCCTCACCAAACAAGGGCTTTAGTAAAATTTAGTCTTCCATATGTAGGCCTTTAGACATGTTTTACTCATACGCTCACTGCAATTTATTGATAGAAAAACTAAAGGACTGTGTTATATATAAATAACTATCTAAATAATGGTTTACCAACAAATAATGATGTGACGAAATTCAATTGGATCAAAATATCATTAATCAAATAACTTTTCCATTTATATTTTGAAACCTCATCATTATGTAAATAACAATGTACAAGAAACATTTTTCAAAACTAAAAGCATGTTTGGGTTAGCTACTTAGCTTAAATATTAGTAAAGAAGTTGTTTGGACTTCGGACAGTAAGTCTCTGTTTGGTACATATTTTTTTAAAATACATTCTTTCAAAACTAATAAAAAGAAATTCATTTACTGTATAATTTAGGGTTCAAAAAGTCGATGAAAATGAAAACAATTCTATATGGAGAGAGAGATTTACCAAAGAGTGTCAAGTCACCATCTTCAAGGACTGGTACTTGACCAAATGGCTACACAAATCAGAAAACAACCATTTCAGTAGAAATAGAAAATTTAAAAAAAATGAAAAAAAATACTGGATGCGTTTCACAATATGCTTACATGGAGTTTTACGAAATCCTCTGTCTTCTGCTGGCCAGTTGCTAAATCAATATACACGAACTCATAATCGAGTTCTTTCTCTGCTAAGGTTACAAGAACTCTTTGTGTTGCTATAGAAAAAGGGAGTCCATGAACCTTGATTGCCATCACTGCAAAATACTCAATACAAGAAGAACAAGAAAAAGGCTTACTTTTAGAATAATGATAAGAATATGAATGATGATAAGAAGGGGGTATATATAACTGTTAAAACTTTGGGTCCATTTTAAAAATATCAACTTTATTAAGAGGAGTAACTTAAATCTTTATAAATTAGCCTAAATCCTTATAAATCGGTTATTTTCATCTTTATTTGATGTGAGATTTATCCCTTAACATACCACCATAAAATGATGTTTCATTTGAGCAAACCAACCTTAAAATTCGTTTGCTCATTTTTTGAGCCTTAATCGGATCGAATTGTTTGTTTGAACTTAATGAGCTCTGATACCATATTAAAACTTGAGATTTCAGGTCAATTTTATCGAGATGAGTAATCCAAACCCTTATAACCAGTCGATGTTTTCATCTTTACTTGATGTGTGATTTATTCCTTAACAATAACAATAAAGTACTGGGGTTTATTTTATTTTATTTTGGGTTCTGGAATGATCTACTATTTTTAACAGTTTTTCTTAGTTGCATATTGAGGAAATTTGATGCACGATATTAAACCTTGTTTATTATATTTCCAATCAGGTCAAATTCAAAAGTGAACGTGCTCAGTTTGGTTTGGCAGTATTTCTATTCATTCATATTAGTTTACAAGTTGCTTTGTTTTTTTTATTGCAACTTGGACAGGGAAGAGATAAAATAGGTTGCCTACCGACTAGTTCTTTGAGCCTTTCAAGATTTATATTTAATTCAGCATGATCTGTATATGGACTAGCAACTTCTTGGAACATTACACGTTTTAAGAGAGGATTTTTTAAATGGATTTTTTGGTCAACTTTATGAGATTGTGTCGGGTGGATCCTTCTTTAGTTAACATGATAATGAGAATTATTAATCATCCTTATGATAAATAATTTGGTAAAATTTATTTGGCTAAAATTCTTCATTGTTTTCAATTGTGTGTGTGTGTGTTTTTATTCGAAGAGTACGGTAAATTCTTGTTTATCAATTAAAGCTCGTATTGTGGTGCATTAGTATTGTAAAAATTGTTGTATCTTGAGAAGATTTGTTAACGCGAGTAGCTCAATTCGATATATTCATAAATTATTTGTCATTAATATTCTCTATATTCATTGCTTATACACTAAAATTTACTTACATGTGAATATTAATATTGCAATTAGGTACAAAATGACTTCAAAATTTGTGTTGTTTTCTACTATAATTGACCTTAGAAAACAAGACCCAATTCGTCCAACCTATGGAATATTAATTGTGATAGTCGAGCCTGCCTTCGCAGGGTTCCTAAGTCCTAATATAATAATAATAACAACGTACATAATATAATATTAAAAACTTAAGGGGTACTTGTTACATATATTTTGCATAGACTCAACGACTTGTGTAGTTGAGACATTTTTTGGAGACTACAATTTAAGTAGTTGGGACATTTTTTATGTAGATGTAAAGAAATATGATTAGACTAAAATTAATATAGTTTGTTGTGAGTATTAATAATATAAATGTGACTTTGAGAGATTTAAAATGAATAGAGTGGAAGCACAAACCTAATTAATTTCTTTATGATGAATAAAATTGACTAGTCATTGTATATAATTAGATCTCACCTTGGATCCACAACTTATAGGATATGAAATCTTTATGCATGTGAGTGGATGATTTAATGACTGGTCATTGTATATTATTTTCCAATTTCATGTAGCATGTATGTTCCTTAACTTTTTTTTGATACATTCTTATACACAGCCTTCCATTAATTAGCACATCTCTTCTCTTATAACAATTTTGTCCAAAAAGCCCATTGAAGGGCATAAAATGACTTATTTGTCCACTCTATTTAAAAAATAAATAAATGTAAAAAGTGCGACAAAATATTTTCCCTCATTTTTAAGCATGCAAGTGGGGTATTTTGACATAAATCGTCACCGAAGATGAAATGTGCTAATCAACGTGGAGCTACAAATAAAAATTATAGTGTGAATATGATGCTAACAGCGCAAGTAATTTGCTAATTAAGCTATCTAGTTTACTTATAAGTAAATATATAATCTTTAAACTAAATATTTTTTTTATTAATCAGAATTAGGTGTCACTGTCACAGGGCCACTTTGTTAATGGGAATTCAAAGCCAACCTTTGGCACTGTGAATTTCAATGGTCACATGGGCACACTTGCACAAAAATAAGTTAAGGACATTAATGCACTGTGAAAATAGTCATTTGGGACAGTTTTGTTTGGTTGAGCATTAGAAAGTCAGCATTTTTATTATAAATACTGAAATGCTCTTAAATTTAGTTTAATAAACAAAGTAAGTAGAAAATTTTAAAAATGAAAATGACATGCATCCACCTAAGAAAACAATTAAAAAAAAAAAAAATAGGCCAAAAAATTGAATATAGGTTAGAAAAAACTATTTAAAAGTATTCATCTCTACCTCCACCACTTCCAAACACTAGACACCAATTGATTTTATATTAGATGATTAGAGCGATAAATAAAGCGACTCATGAACTAATATGAACGTATAGACACGTAAAATTTATTAGATGCAAAAAAAAACTGTTTTAAGTCTATGAACCCTAATATTTTAAGTAAATCCCACATAGCAATCATCATCCTTATTCAACAAATCATTATTCTAAAAGTACATTTTCTTCTTGTGGTGTTTAGCATTCTGCAGTAGTGATGGCAATCAAGGTCCATGGACACCCTTTTTCTGGATCAACACAGAGAGTTCTTGCAACCCTAGCAGAGAAAGAACTTGACTATGAGTTGGACTTTGTTGATTTAGCAACTGGACAGGACAAGACAGATCACCCTTTGTTTCACTAAATGTAAGCGTATATATGAATTAAATCAATTGCTTATCTTTTACTTTTAAGTGAACAAGGTTACTCATTTTGAAAGTAACGATTATTATACAATACAATCAAACTTAGGGTTTTAGCCTTGTTCCACACACATTTGGACATCTTTATGTTCAGAAGTTTTCCCTTAACAGATGATGAAACCTTGAATTGCTGAATCAAGGGCAATCACTCAGTACCTTGCAACTTGCATATAAATATATATGCCGACGAGGGAACCCCATTGATAACCCACCCACGACTCAAAAAAGAATACATTATGGGGCTAAATCAAGGTAACTTCGTGGCCCATTAACGATAAGGCCCACATTTATCTGTTGGGCCGTAGAACAAGCCAAAGGAAAAGTTCATGCCACGGGTGTTTAGTTTAACATTTTAAAAAATCAGGTGCTAAACTTTAAAATTGTAAAAATCAGGTTTCTATTTTTTATTAATTAATTAAATATTTAATTGTGTAATTTGATAGCGTGTATCTTATTAATTAGTTAAAAATTAATTTCAAGTCA